GTGTATATGTATATTTATATATAAATAGAATCAAGTTTAAGTTGAGTTTTATATCATGTTATAATGTTATCCTCTCATAACATGCCCAGCGTCTCACTTTGACTCATTCATGCATATTTGAGAAATCCTGTGGTGTCCTGAGGCAGCCAGGCAGGCGAGCAAAAACGACCGGGACTAGAACCGCTATTTGGGACCAGCTCCTCCTCTGGGCTGTGTCTCTGAACCGAGCTTCCTCATCACAGAGCCCCACACCGCCCGTGACTCCTGCAGGCTGTCAGCAGCAACAAAGCAAACAACTGGTGAAACTGAAACTGTCTACTGAGCTCCCTATACCACTTCTCAGTGCAGCCCTTTTCAGATTCAAAATACCTTTTGAGGAAATGGATTTTCAGATGCCAAGTAAACTATGCTGAGAAAAAAAACCGTCAACTCAGCAGATTAATTCAGAACAGCTCACCTGTGATGATTCCTCAGCTCCATAAGATGCAGACAATAGATTTGTTGCTGCGTAAGGTTGTGCGTAATTTGTGGAACAATGTCAGCTATTCTGCAGGTTGATATCACCACAATAGGAATTGAGGACAGCGTGTTTTTTTTCCACACAGAACAAATTACAATCAGGTATTTGACTGTAGTTCTGAGTCGAGCCATGCAGCTGATCTGAATGAGAAACTTCCTGATTCTAAAATATAAATCACACCGCGGCAGAAACTTGCTTCGTTGCGACTCATTTCTTCACATCAACTATTTAATAAATATTTTTCTAAGTTCTGCCAAACTCATAAGTTTCTCTGTGTTTACATTCATTTATTAAAGACGTGTAAAGGTGGAAACGTCTCAGCCTCATGCGCCGCTGATGACTGCAGCTTCGCACATGCGCACACCCCACTACTTGTTTAGACAATTTTCTCACTCATTCTCAATTTAATCTATAATTTTCCAGCATCTAAAAATAATTTCTGATCCCACAGACGGGACAGTCTGAGGAGAATCTCTCATGCTGGACACATTTACATCTTTAGGTATGCTTTCTTCCATGTTCGTTGGGATGTATAAAGGAAAGGTATGCAAGAAACATGCATGCGCACAGTTTTATACATCTGATTTTTTTTGTGCGGCGCACTTTTCTAAATTTGTCCACATGCCAACTTTTAGTGTGAAAGCTGTGCACTCCATTACGCATGAGGCCCCTGGTCATGTGACAGGATACAGCCATCATCCCCACATAGATGGAGTATTTTTTTGTCACTTTACCCAAGCTAAGATGCTGGCTAACAGCTGGATTCAAGTGATGGGACAAACTGAATTTGACCGGAAAACAGTGAAACCATGGACTCAACGTCTGCTCCAAACATTTTATCAGAGGTAAAAGACCAACACTGGACTTACTGGGATTGAACCCAGGACCTCCTTGCTGTGATGCGTCAGTTCTAACCACTGAGACGTCTCACTGCCCTACGCTAGACTCAGTAGAACGAGCACTACTGTGTACACTACTGTGCTTACTGCAGCCAGTCAGACATACGGTGATAATATTATACTTATACAAATTCTAAACATCACCATTAGTCTCTTTAAAAGATGCAGAGTGATTAAAAATACACAAAGGCAACAAATGCATCAAGCTAAGCTATAAGACATTGGTAAAAACACCATTTTAACAATTCTACTGGCTTTTTATGTCTGTCTCCAGCCAACCTTTCAATTAAACTTTCCTATTATTCCTAATGTCAGATGTGTCCAAATTTTCAAATTTTAAATGAGAATCTAAAATAAAACTTAAATATTTCACTTCTGAAACATGCTCAATTTTTTGATCATTAATCCTCAAGTTTAAAGCCAAATCAGTGCCATCTTTTCAGAGTTGAGCTTTCGTAGAAAAGCAATCAGACAGTTTTTTTTACATTAAAGGTAAGACATGACCTGTCAAACCATGCTGCAATAGACTCTAAATAATTTGACAGCTGTGCAGTATCAGGATTACAGGTTTTAAGTCAAAGATGAGCAGGTTTAACAGACAAACAGACACGGAGACCAGATAAAAGGTAAGTGTTATTTTATTTACAATTGGTGGGGATATGTACAGGGGATCCAGGCTGCGGAGGGAAAAGGAAGACGGTGAGTATCCAGGTAAGTATTTTGATTGCAGGGGGAACTTGAGGTGTAATAATAAATAGAGATCTTACAGTTTGAGGAGGCGAGCGACAAGTAGAGGAGAGGGTCCAAATCCAAGGTG